GCGATGGGCGATATCCAATGAGAGCTCTGGTTTTCCGAAAAAATAAAGCTCTCATTAGATATCGCCCATCGTTCATCGCTCATCGCGTCCAGTGTGCGAGGGCCATAAGTCGTAAGACAAACAGTTGAATGTGAGGAAAATATCGACTGTGATTGATCAATTTCTTACGAATTACGACTCTATTGTAGACAATGGGCCTATTACGGTTTTTGAAACAAAGTGAAAATTACAAAAGTGAGGAAATTTACTAGAATATCTACAATTTCATTTGTCGAAATCTAGTAAATCTGTTTACTTTTGTAATTTTCACCTTGTTTCAAGAACCGTAATAGGCCCCCAGGCCTGTTACGTAAAAAAATTTTAGTCGTAACCGTAAAGGTATATCCAGACAAATTTGCATAGCGCAAAAACATATGTGTAAGAAAATTAATTGGTTCATATATGTATGCATAAGGAAATGGACCAATCCAGTACGATTGACCAATCAGAGAGTCCTAATGTGCAACTGGCCAATTAGCAATGTGGGTTATATCGGATCCACAGACTTCTATATATTACTAGACTATAATATATAGAATAGCTTTGCATATCTGACCTTATGTATCCGTTATCTCATAAGAAATTAATTATTATAAAATAAACTATTATTTCCCAAACGTTGAAAACATTACAGACGTGTTTCCCAAATGATTTCACGTTAATTAAAATAAAAAAATAATTTTTTTTTATATTATGTCTGCTAACTATACGCTCAATTAATTTTCATTTATTATAAATAAATTATTATTTCCTAAATTATGAGAATATATTTCTAAATTTGCCCAAACGATTCCCAAACGATTGCAATAATAAAAATTAAAAAATATCAAATTTGTCTGCTGAGTATACAGAAGTCTGTTAGAGGTAAGGTAAAGTTATATAAAGGAAGGTTAAGTCATAATTCTGGGCCACCCATAATGCAATGCAAAGAATCGATGTGTGCGCAGTCGCTTTAAAAAAGAGATGCTAAATAAGATAGATTGTTGTTGGCTCTTGCGGCCTTTTGCAATGCATCATGGATTGCTTATTATATACATAGTATCAAAATAGTATAACTTAACCTTCCTTAAGTCCGGATCTACAATAGATGTAGTAAGCCTCAAGCCATAAGAAATTGATCAATCACAATCAAATGTGAGAATAGGAGAATGAGGAGAATAATGAATTGTTATTGGTAATTTTCTTACGGCTTAAGGCTTACTACATCTATTGTAGATCCGGTCTTATATAACCTTAGTTAAGGCCAATTTTACCAAGTCCGGTTAGATGAACCGATGGTTAAAATTAGCAGGGTGGTTAATTGAAATGACATAAATGCTTGGTTTTCCTTCATCTCTATTTTCTGTTGGCCACCCTGCTAATTTTAACCGTCGGTTCATGTAACCGGACTTGGTGAAATTGGCCCTTGGAGACCTACATGAAGCTAATGTATTTCGTTTGTAAATCGTTTGTGATTGATTGTCTGTTTTTAACGTTTGTGACAAATTAGGTTTTTTGTAATTAACAATTATAGTTTAATCATGATGTCAGCCGATACTTTTTAGTAATAAACAAATTTTACGATAACTGATAACTATAATCGACAGGAAATCGTTTGTAATTTACAAATATACCAATGTTACATTTGTAAATTGATAAATTTTTTAATTACATACAAAATAAATTTATTTTATAATTGTAGTGCGCATACGCAAAGTATACTCAGGTCACTCCTGCCCACAGAGAGCGCGTCGATGCGTAAGACCGGATCTACGGCCGGTATTCATAGCCAGTTCTTATATTTAAGACCGTCTTAAGCACAATCTTAAGATGTCCTTAACCAATCACAGAGCCGTATTAGCATCTTAAGACATTACTTAAGACGGTCTTGAAATAAGAACTGATTATGAATACCGGCCTACAATAGGTGTAGTAAGCTCTTAAACCGTAAAAATATCGACGAATTACAGCATGACGGAAATACTGGAAGTACTTCAAAGACTTGGCAATGCACTATGATGCTCTGATGATCTTACAATTAATATTTATTAATATTTTTTTTAGTCTGATATTGGCTCTTCCTCTCACTTATTTAGGCCGGTATTCATAGTCAGTTCTTATTTCAAGACCGTCTTAAGTAATGTCTTAAGATGCTAATACGGCTCTGTGATTGGTTTAGGACATCTTAAGATTGTGCTTAAGACGATCTTAAATATAAGAACTGACTATGAATACCGGCCATAGTCAGTTCTTATTTCAAGACCGTCTTAAGGCACAATCTTAAGATGTCCTAAACCAATCACAGAGCCGTATTAGCATCTTAAGACATTACTTAAGACGGTCTTGAAATAAGAACTGACTATGAATACCGGCCTAAATCTTCACGCATAAGCATATGTCTGGAATGTCAAAAAATATATATGGGGCGGTGCGTAGCGCCGGACGTATAGAGTCGCAGGCTGGTAATCGAGAGAGATTCAAGGTTCGATTCCGCTCGGGTCCCCCCATCCTTTTCCATATGACTCAAAAAGAAGTTTTCACACATTATTCTATATATAATGCCCCTAGTTTATCATATATTATCCTATCGATGTGATATTATAGGACATCTTAAGATTGTGCTTAAGACGATCTTAAATATAAGAACTGACTATGAATACCGGCCTTAAAATCGGTGATCGTGTGCAAAATAAGTGCAGACTGGAACAAGTATGACAACAAGTGGCTGTACACGGCCTTGAAAAACGTCGAAAAAAGTGGACGCTCAAGATGGCTGCGATGACTACTATATCGTTCGCGATAACTCTATCCAATTACCCCCCGATATGCTCACTCCTTATTTTTTACTCTGAGTATATATATGATACAGGCTATCCCAAAACATCCTAGACATCAATGCTAGTGAACGGGTAGAGCACAGTAAACTGAATAGAAAAGTCCTTTATATCAAGCTCAAACCGCATTGATAGAAATATAAATAGTTCCAAAAGAAAATTATTTGTTATTTTGCTTAAAATATCAAATTTGATATTAAATCAAAAGTAGAAAAAACTGATGTAATTTCGATGAGGCCGACTCTATATGCTATATGTATATAGAAAAATCGACGTCAATCGTTGCAATATGATACAATATACACAGTATCATTCACTAAAAGTTATATTTATTAATTTATATAATAATTTATCATTACCCACTCGGTATGTAATATTGCTGAAATACTATAATGTTCGGAAATGGTACAGAAATATTTCATTAATATTTCAATTGTAACTTTGCATCCGAAATATTTCAGAAAAGTATCTACATCATGTTTTTTAAAATATTGCATTTGCAATATTTCGGAAATCTTTCAGAAAGTCCTTTTGTAACTAGTATTAAGATTATAGTTTATTTGCTTACCGCTATGCGGCGCGCTATTCACTATCTATACCCGTATTCAAATTTTTGTCATGAGCGTATATAAAGCCTGCAAAATGCGGTTAATAATATTATAATTATTTTTAAGTAAAAAATTTTAATAAAAATTTAAATTGTATATAAATTAAAAATAGAATATATAATATTACACATTTTTAAGTATACTCTCAAAACATTAGCTGAGAATTTTAAATAATACTTAAATAAAAATTAAATTTTGTTTTATTAGAAACATACTTGTATAAATCTATCATACATCCATAACAGATGTCTAATGGACATCCATGATGGATTTATATATGATATCTACCATGGAGATAATATGGATTTCTATTAGAAATCTATACAATATCCACTGTGGAGATAGATGTCGCATGGAGTTATGGAGGTTATATGGACGTCCAATGGATGTCATGTTCCGTGTGGGTGTTATTATATATTATTACTGTAATTGCCCAGATAGCCAGGTCTGCCAAAAACAAATTTTATGAAAATTTGCTACAGATTTTGTTGACAAGACGAATGCAAATTTGATACAAGATTTGTTTTATCCGATGATGTCACCACAATGCCAGCAGAAATGTAACAAAATCTGTTGACATAATTTGATAGCAAATTGAAGTCAAAAACCGAGCACAATTTCTGTCCGAAAAAATCTTTAATATAATAAATGAAATTATTTAAATTTACCTATATGTTTTAACATATTAATATATGTTATTATTATATATTAATACTGTAATTGGTCTTATTTTTACCGTTAAAAGAACATCAGAAAATGATTTTCCGTGAATGTAATATATGACGTCATTTTCGGATCTCATAAGAGCTAACTTAGGATGTCTAATTGATCATTTCATGACCAAAATTTATCGTCACTTTGCTATTTAAGATTAAGATTTTAAATCCATTTATAAATTATCATTTTATATAAATGGCTAAAAACTGCAGATTTTGTTCAGTTTTTGCTGCCAATCTGGCGTCAAATTGCCCTGCGCAGATCTTGTTCGATTTCTGCCGCCAATTTGACATTAAGTCATGTCAGCAAGCTTTGCTCGGTTTTTGCCATCAATTTGCTGTCAGGTTATGTTCACAAGCTTTGCTGGCAAAACATGGGCTTATTGCGGACACAGATGGCACCGGATTTGTCACCAAGTTTTGACCAAATTTGATGCCAATTTGGCGACAATTTGCTATCTGTCATGTATTTTATAAATTCCGCGCTGAAGTAGCGCTGCGCCGTTGCGTGGCGCTTTCCGGGAGTCAGAGAAACGGAAGCGGAGCTCGCTCTCTCTGTCCTGAGATTCCGAACCGTTAAGTTCTACTTTACGATCACTCTTTGTATTAAGTCTTGTTAAGAGTTGTTAATAAGAATATATATCATATAATAAGGTTCGCTGGGCATAATTATTTAAATTACCAACAAGAAGATATTTAACAAACTGGCGACGAGGATGGGATGCCAGTGAATCGATCGGATTTTTGGATATAAGTGAAGTTACGGAAAAAGAGACTGGTCCACGTGTTCTGCCACACTTATAAAGTAGGAACTTTTGATAAAAATGCCAACAGGCGGCACAAGCTCTCTAGGAGGGAGTTCCGCGGGGTCAAATTTAGGATCTCCAAGCGTTGCAAAGGTACAAAATGTAATGCAAATCGAAGATTTCGACCCGACTTGGAAACGGTGGCTTCAATGTCTAGAAGGTTCGTTCAAAGTTTTTAAAATAACGGCCAGGGATGAAAAAGTGGCTTATTTGCTGCACTACATTGGAGTAGAAGCTTTTGGAATATTGTATGATCGTTTAGATCCGGACGACCCGTATACTAAATCATTCGAGGATTTATGCAAAAAATTGGAAGAATTCTATGCGCCGGAACCTTTAGAAATTGCGGAAATATTCACTTTTCGCAAACGTATGCAAAAGGACGGAGAGTCGGCGCAGGAATATATGGCAGCGTTGCAAAAACTTTCGTTGCACTGCAAATTTGGCAATTATTTAAAAACGGAACTGAGAAATCAATTCGTTTTTGGAATTAAATTCCCGCGGATTCAAGCCAGACTGTTGGAAACAGTCGATTTGATGGATTTAGCCCTCAAAATTGCCTGCTCCATGGAAAAAGCGGATCAAGGAATTCATCAGCTGAAAGAAGATCAAGGGACAGGACCTTTAGTGGCAGTCGATTTCATTGGAGCTGGAGTCAAGAGTAAGAAGAAGTTGAGTGAAAAGGAACGTAAGAAAGCAGGGCAGCCTATCTTGAAACTAGAAGCGAAGAAGACGTGGTCGTCGAAAGACTCTGGAAGCGTTAGGCATAATAGAAACAATGTTAAATTAGATAAAATTGTATGTTACAGGTGCTGTAAAAATCACTTGGCACCCTCTTGTTCTCTTCCTCGGAGTACAAAGTGCTTAGAATGTAGCGGTCTGGGCCACTTGAGAAAAGTTTGTAAGAAGAAAGCACAAACTAATATGAGGATATCGCTGCAGTAGAAAAGGAAAGCGAGCATTCGAAGTATCGATCGAAGTATACGATCTCTCTCTATGTAGAACAGAAAAAGGTATCGTTTGACGTAGATTGCGGAGCTGCGGTGACTTTGGCAAGTCATTGTTGGTTAAAATCAAAGATGCCTAAGTTAAAAATCTATGAAACAGATTTAAAATTACGTTCGTATTGCAAAAAAAGTTTTGTGCCTATAGGTTTTGTAAAAGTAAAAGTTAAAGATGTAAAGGCAGCCGCTTTTGGGCCGGGAATAGATAAATCAACTACAAACTTTGAATAAATTAAAAGAAAGCTTGAAAGAAATGCAGTCATTGAATCTGGTAGAACAGTCGTACGATAGTCGTTTAAAGAATCTATCAGAAAAGTTTTCAAATTTAACAAGTGAAGAATTCTCACCTATTAAAGGAATAAAAGCTCATTTGAATTTGAAATCAAATGCACAACCAGTTTTTCTTCGAAGTAGACAAGTTCCATTTCAAATTACAAATAAAGTAGAAAATGAACTAAACCGAATGGTGCAAGCAGGAATTTTGAAACCAGTAGAAGCTTCTAGATGGGCAACACCGATAGTACCGGTTTTAAAGCGAGATGACAGCATAAGAATGTGGAGACATTAGCGTCACAGTTAATCCACGTTTAGTAGTTGATGAACATCCATTACCGACCCATGACGAATTATTCGCCAAAATGGCTGGCTGTAAAGTATTCTCGAAAATAGACTTGAAACAAGCCTATTTGCAACTCGAATTGCGGGAAGAGGATAAAGAAATCCTTACACTAAATATGTCTAAAGGCTTGTATCAGTGTAACCAGCTCATGTACGGAGTGGCATCAGCGTCTGCGATCTGGCAGAGAACAATTGAAAATATTTTGAAAGATATCCCAGAAGTAACTGTATTTTTAGATGACATAAAAATTGCGAGTATAAATGAGGAAAGACATTTAAAAATTTTGGAACTAGTCCTGCACCGTTTATCAGAAAATAATGTACGTATTAACGTAGAGAAATGTTCGTTTTTGAAGGATCAATAATCGTATTGTGGGCATGTAATTGGAAAGTATGGCATTAAGAAAGAAAAGTATAAGATAGAAGCTTTGGAAAAACTACCGAGACCCACGTATATCTGAAATTCGGGCTTTTATAGGTTTGATAAATTATTATGGTCGTTTTATAGAAAATCTCAGTGATATTTTAAGACCACTAAATGCGTTATTAAGAAAGAGCGCTGGTTTTAAGTGGACGCAGGAATGTAAGAGAGCTTTTACAGGCGCCAAACGGGCTTTTTGTAGTGATAAGATATTAGTTTCTTTCAATCCGAAATTGCCAGTAGTCCTGACAACTGATGCCAGTCAGTATGGGGTCGGAGCAGTGCTATCACACAGATATTCGGACGGATCGGAACGTGTAATTCAATATGCCTCGTGTACATTAAATAAAACTCAAAAAAAATATACGCAGCTGGATAAAGAAGCAGAAAATTCTCACGGATAATAAACCTATCAGTCAAATTCTTAATCCACAAAAAGGCTTACCTGCATATAGCGCGATGCGTATGCAACATTACGCGGTTTTCCTTCAAGGTTTTGATTTTGACATTAAATTTAGAAAAACAGAAAATCATGGCAACGCTGATGGCTTTTCTCGACTACCGATCAAAGAAAAGGCTATCGCAGGTTGTGACGCGCTGGATGTTTTTACAATAGAAACGCTAAACATGTTACCGCTTAAGGCGAGCGAAATTCGAAAAGAGACGTCCAAAGACGCCGATCTCGCGAAAATAGTAGAAGCTTTAGAAAAAGGTAAAGGCTTAAAAAAATTAGGGCTACAGAATCATGAGTTTGCGTTAAGCAATGGAATACTGTTAAGAAAAGATAGAATGGTAATACCGGAAGTTTTAAGAGGCAGAATTCTCGAAGAATTACACTCCGGTCACGTAGGAATTGTTAAAATGAAAGGCCTAGGTAGGAATTATGTTTGGTGGCAAGATATCAATAATGACATTGAAAAAACTGTTCGAAATTGTAGAGAATGTAGTCGATTCCAAAATGATCCCAAACCAGTACCGTTGCATCATTGGGAGCCTACGGATGAACCATTCCAAAGGATCCATATGGATTTTGCTGGACCATTTATGGGTCATAATTTTCTGGTTTGCGTAGACTCACGAAATGGCCTGAAATTTATGTAATGGACAATATTACTGCCGCAAGTACAATAGAAAAATGTCGTGAAATTTGGTCGAGATTTGGTATCCCTCGGATGTTGGTAACGGATAATGAAAGAACCTTTAATTCTCAGGAATTTCAAAATTTTGTTAAAGCTAATGGAATTATTCACAAAAGAACGGCTTCTTATCATCCAGCATCCAATGGGTTAGCAGAAAGATTCGTGCAAACACTCAAGCAATCACTTCGTAAAACTAAATTAACGAAAGATAATGTAAAAGAAAATGTACAAAAATTTTTGTTTCACTACCGAGTTACCCCAATTCCAGAGCTTAAGAAATCACCAGCCGGAATTATGTTCGGGCGAAAATTACGTAGTCGACTGGATCTTATTTTGCCAAAGGAACTTGCGTTCAAAGAAGAGTCGATAAAGTGCGATAGTGAAACAAGAAATTTTTAAGTTGGGGCTAAAATAGCCGCGCGAGAATACTTAAATAAAAATATTAAATGGCGTTTTGGTACCGTTTTTAGAAAATTAGGGAAGCTACATTACTTAGTGAAACTAGAAAATGGCAAAACATGGAAACGACATGTAAACCAATTACGCGTAATCGGGCAAGATGTTCAAGAAGTTAAGTCGCGATTAGAGTTAGATGATTTCGATGGTATCCATTCAAATTTAGATATAGAAAAAAAATTTTAAGAATGAAGAGAGACCGGCAGTAAATGTATCAAACAATGAGTGCGTGAACGACACTGTTCATGCTCCAGCCGAGGAAGAGACGGAGGAAAATGCGCACACACAGATAATTGTAGGTAATAAAAAAGAAATGCGTACGAGCGAGCAAAATGAGATGGAGGAGAATGCGCAAGAACCGATAACTGCAGCTGATAAAAAAGAAACACGGACGAGCGAGCAAAAGCCAAATACGCGTCCCCAACGCATCAGAAGGGAACCCTCTAGATATGGAGACTTTTTTGTTTCGCATTAGTGTAAGAAATCTTTTGTTAAAAAGGAGAAAAGCTGTTATGTATTTTATAAATTCCGCGCTGAAGTAGCGCTGCGCGTGACACTTTCCGGGAGTCAGAGAAACGGAAGCGGACCTCGCTCTCTCTGTCCTGAGATTCCGAACCGTTAAGTTCTACTTTACGATCACTCTTTGTATGATATTAAGTCTTGTTAAGAGTTGTTAAGAAGAATATATATCATATAATAAGATTCGCTGGGCATAATTATTTAAATTACCAACAAGAACATATTTAACACTATCAAATTGCTAGCTGGGTGATTTTAGTTTTGCCGTCAAACAAACATCAGAAAATAACGTCTCGTGGATGTGACATATCGACATCATTTTCAGGTCTCATGAGACCTAACTTAGGATGCCTAAGTGGTCATTTTGTGACCAAAATTTACCGTCATTATGACGTCAGTTTGCTACTTGGGATATGTTTCAGAAATATTTCAGTAATATTACCGAAATATTGCTGAAATCTTTTAGCAAGGTTGCATTTGAAATGATTGCGGACATTGAAACATTGCAGAAATGTTGCAGAAACGGCCGTGAAATATTTCTGTAATATTGTTGAAAGGTGTAATATTTCAAATGGAATATTGCAGCAATGTATCAGAAATATTACATGCCGAGTGGGTAATTACTTTCTGTTATGTGTATAAATGTTTATACAAGCGGATTTAGAGAGAAAATGAACTTTGTACGTGGATGTTATTGAACGTATATATTTAAGATATTTAATTTGATTTTAATTAAATGATTGTAACACTTTCATACATTATATTATGAGAGAGAGAGAGAAAGAGAGAGAGAGAGTGACAGAGAGAGGGGCTTGGGAGGGAGAGATAGGAGAAAAAGGAAGAGAATGAGAAAGAGTGAAAGGGCGGAGAGGGAGAAGTGAACGGTATCGCGATGAAAATCAAAAGCGGAGGTCTTAATGTATTAGAATAGAGAATATACAGGGTGTCCCATAATTTTTGCTGGCGGAGCGGGGAAGCGGAGGGAGGGGCGCTCTATACGGCTACGTACTTACGTACGAGCGAACGCTGAAGCCACGCATCTCGAACTATTCTCTATGTATCGGTCGACTGATATCGGTACAACGCACGAGCCATCATTTAACATCGTTATGAAGAGTCAGAAGTGATTTATAGCAAACTGTGGATATAAGAATTATCTGGACGGAGCGAGGGAATGGAGTGAGGGGAAATCTTGATGTGGCCATTTTGATTGTTCAATATTTTACGTGATTTTAACTGCTAAGACATTACAATAGACCGAAATCCATACAATTATTAGCTGCTTCGCCATTTTGGTTGTTCATATCCGTTACACTAGAACTTTCAATCCCCTTTCCCTTTTGTCATCATCCCGCGGCAATACGCTCCGTCCAGATATTTCTTGCATCCATGGCAGACTACATGAAAACGGCTCTGTTCAATAACGAAGAAAAGGTATGCATCACCACCAACTATGTATTTAATTCTTAAATAAGCATGTTCTTTCAATATTGACATGTGTGATAGATATTTACTCTATATAATTTATTTTATTTTATTTTTCTTAGCGCAGCAGTAATGATTACAGCGTTACAGGCACTGTGAGGGAGAATTCACACCTTGGCAGAAAAGCAGAAAGCAGAAAAGCAGAGGCCAATCAGAACTCGCGCTAGAAAAGCAGAATGTACTACTTACTAACAGCGCGAGTTCTGATTGGTTTCTGTTTTTCTAGCATGAGTTCTGATTGGCTTCTGCTTTCTGCTTTTCTGCCAAGATGTGAATTCTCCCTGAGAGCACGAACCCATGCAGCGGAATAGCATAACGCGGAACGAGAGCGGAACCAATCGCGAGCATTCTGCAGTTTTCGTTACGCTCGCGATTGGTTCCTTTCTCGTTCCGCGTTACGCTAATCTGCTGCATGAGTTTGCACCCTTAGGAGTGACGTAAAAATTACAAAAGCGGATCCTTAAAGATGATTTGTGAATCTCACCAATAAGGACAGCAAGTCAAAAACATGAGTACAACTCTGATCATTAATAAAGAAAAGATATGCATCACCACCAATCATGTATTTGAAAGCATGAATAAACATTTATTGCTTCCTCTTAGGATTACAAATATTCTTAACATAATTAATATCATGTATCATTTTCGCTCGCAACTTACGCATTAACTCAATCTGATCTTTACATCCTAAAATACGTATACCTATTCTCCTACCATGAAAGGTACACACACATATCCTAATTTTTCTAAACTAATACATTAGTACCTGCTTCGAACGTGGTAGGATGGAAATTGAACATTTCCAGAGCACCAGCTATGCGTATAATCGTCCAACCGCTCAAAGTTATATCCTGTTGCAAAAATTATGTTCGATATGTAGAAGTGTGCGTTATCTGTAGCTCAAGTAAATTCGAAATGAATTTCTCCAAAGCTTTCAGCCTTACTTTATTGCCCTTATTTGTGAGTTTCACAAATCGTCTTCGGAAATACGCATCTGTAACTTCTATGTTACTAAGTTCTGTTATAATGTAACCGCTAAATTCTGTTATAATGCTGCACATTAATAATTGCAGCTCTTCATTATCCTCCGACAAAGTGCGTTTATCGTCTCTCAGAGGCCCACACAGAACAAAATATCGAATAGATATCTAGTGAATATCTTTATATCTATTTTATGTCCATGTCTACCATAGATAACTAGTAGACATTTAATAGATGAATAAAATATCTATATCTCTCAAATAACTAGCGACGATATCTAATAGTAGAGTCCTATATAATCAGAGAAGCGACAATGGCGTTCCATTTGCTGATTGGCTGACCGTCATGGGCCCGTTCGACTTAATGACTGCAACGCTCACGGTATCATTTCATCTTTGTTGTTCACCGAAAGTTAAACAAAGACAGATGATGCTCGCGAGCGTTGCGGTCCTTAAGTGGAACGCGCCCTATGTTGGTCCCGTAGTGAATCCTATGTGCAAACTAACCGCAACCGGCGTACCGTAACTGAGAAAAAAGTATATTTGTCAAGCGACGCGGTAGCGTCCCGACGCCAAGTAATATTATTTTCTAAAAAAATTAATAAAAAGTATTTTTTATCATATAAACTTTTTCCAAAGCAAAAATTTAGAAATTTAATTTTTGTCGTAAAATATTTATAAATAATGGTTTTATGTATCGAAATAATTTTAATCAATATGAAAATAGTTTTTTTATTTGGTTAGAGAATATTTGTTTATAAAGATGCGCATTTGTTTTTATTATTACGCGATATTTGTAGCATGCATATTTGAAAGTATGTATGTATGTATCAGGGAATAAGTCGACTGTACCATGCACACACACATGCAGGCAGGCACACGCGATCATATCAGTGCGCGGCAGATACTCAGTCGCGCGTGTTGTGTATATACGCGTAACAAGAGATTACCGCAAAAGTACGCACAACTGTTATAACGCGTTGAATTTAAAAAACGAGTGTTGTGTTTTTGTAGAGTGGTTTTAATAGTGTGTCCACATAATGGGACAAGAATATTCGAAAATTTTCGAGAGATGCTTGCCCCTCTTTGCCCGCAGACTTGCATCCTCTTAAGTCCGCGTACAGAATAGGGCCGAAGAGTTCTCCACCCGATCGAGGTTACTCGATTTCTGACCGCATCTCCGATCAGCTGGGAATACGCGCTAGAAAACGGCATCTAACACTGACGCCTTCATTAACACGCGGCCCCGCCATCCGACCGAATAAGTAGCCGCGCCGAAATACCTGTCGCCGCGCCGTATCTCGCTTATTGTATAGTAAAATAAACGTCGTCAAAATAAACACGGCCTTGCCGTACACACGCCGACTAACCGCGCCCTGTTTCTCGCGCGTCTCGCGCGCACCAAACCCGGCCTCGCCGTACACCGGCGTACAATAAGCAGTTCGATACATCGAATATCGCGCACCGACTAACGAACGCGAATTAATTATAACACGTCTCGTTACCCGCCGCGCGCTCGCTTCGCGAGATATAAACCAAAATCATCCTATTGTAAATTGATAATTGCCGAAAGAGGCGAATAAATTAGCTACGTTCCAACTCAAGCATCTCGTGTGTCTCACCCCTTTCTCGAGCCCTGATCCCGGCCGAGCTACTCCGCGCGCTCGCGAAAGTGGCCCCGTTACAAATATCCATTGATACTGATGTGGATGTCCAGTGGATATTGACCTACATATCCTATGGATATTTATAAGATCTCGTATTGCGGACATTTGGATATTTAAAGCATGTCTGTTCAAGACTGAAACATTGAATTTAATCGATAAATTTAAACTGTAAATTCAACCGACAAATCTGAACGGTAAGAGCCGCGATCAAAACCACGAGGGTTTCTAGCAAGAAGCTCTTAATCATCATCTCAAGATTTCCAAACCGCGAAAAAGGGCAGTCATTAACAGGACATTTGAAGATCTCCGTCGGAATCGCGGAATACGTGCTGTCGCTCGCTCCTATTATTCAAAATAAAAAAGAACATTGCTGACAATCTGCACTCGACTCTTTTCTCGATCTCCTTATCCTCCAGCGGATCTACGGATTCGCGTTACACACCGCTTCTCGCTCATCTCTGAGCGTCTCTATCAGTTTCGGGCGATCTCGTCGAGTTCGACTCCCGAACAATGTCTAATAGCCGTTTTCTACATATTCATGGATATCCCTAATGCACATTGAGAACATTCAGTAGATATCTAATATACATTAATTTCTGTGTGGGCGGAATATGTGGGCTGTATGTCTGAACGGAATTGCTAGAGACGTGTTCATCGATTGTATAGGCGTGATTCAATCTGAGAATTAAAGTAAAAATAAATTTATGTCTAATATTTGCGTTGAAATAATACGTGGCATTGACCGATGGCAGATTCCGAATTAGATTTCATCCATTCCACATGTCTTTTTGGAAAACACTAACAGTGAAAGGTTGAGAGCTTAATGAAAATTGGATGTTTAAGATTTAAAAAAACGAAATTACAAAAAAATTTAAGAAACAAGATTACAAAGAAGAATTACAAGATATAACTTACAGTAAGCACAAATTTTAAGAAAAAGAGAAATAGAAGAAAAGAATTGGAAAAAAATTAATATTATATCCGACAAAAGACGGAAATCTAATAGAAAATAAGGAAAGAAAGAACTTTAAATTTGCCATTCAAATTCAAAGAGATTACGACATATCGGCTCACCTGGCCTCTTCCGACTGTCATACGATTTCGCAATATAAATGCTATATCTGCCTTCAATTCAGTCAATTTTTCCACGCAACAATTATATTTTCGTAACTCTTGCGCCATATTCTCGATTTTGTTCTCATATTGCAGTTTGAACTCCTCTCGATTAGCACACATCTGCGCCTCATTTTGATCGTGTAATTCTGGAAGCACTAGAGTCATCTCCTTCTGTTGTTTTTGAGCGTCGAGCAATGCTATTAATTGACCAATTTCCTTCTCCGAATCTCGATTTTTCTCCGCAAGTTTCTTGCTCCCCGCCTGCAATTGATTGAACTGCAATTGCAAATGCAGTGTGCTGTGTGTTTCATATATTGCATTTCGCTCTGCTATCTGCAAGTCCTTTATTTTCTTCTCCAATCTAGAAAACATACGTCAAATAAAAATGTTAGTCATACGCATTAAATCACAAATATACATCATTTATTTCCATTAATAGAATAACTATCTCTAATGTGAATACATTTACTATCCTAAACATTTTACTTTTAACTTCTAACGATACCGTTACCAGCCTCGCGGGCCGACCAGCCACCCGCAATCCTGAGGCTCGGCGCCAATGGCGCCCTAAGCTCCCACACCCGTGTCACGGCCCCACCGTGCGACCGCCCCACCACGCACCAACTCACGTGAGTGGGAGGCCGGCCGCCGGTATATAAGGCGCTCCGGCGAGCGTAGCGTTACCAGTTCCCGATCCCGAGTCCTACCTAGTACAACTCCTGATCCGAAACCTATACCGCGTTACACCAGGCTACGGGCTACCCGTAGTTACGCCGGGTTACCCGGTTGCTGGGACGGCGCACCCTGATACCTAGCGTTACACCAGGTCACGGGCTACCCGTGGTTATGCCGGGCTTCCCGGTTGCTGGGACGGCGCACTCCTAGTTCGTAAGACCGTACCGCGCCCCGCGCACCGTTCGTATATACCGCGACCGTTTCCACCGTAAGACCACTTTGGTCTCCGTGTAGCTTTCCGTCTAAATACCGCGACCCGTTAGTTCGTAAGACCGTTGTACATATACCGTAACCAGTAAGACCGCTCCGGTCTCCGCGTCCTGATAGACTCTAGCACCGTTTGTAGATACCGCGACCTGTTCATATTGTAAGACCGCATTATATATACCGCGATCTGTCCGTATTGTAAGACCGCACTGTATATACCGCGCATTCTGACTGTAGAGTTAATTAGACATTAGGATTCCCGCCAAGTGTCGCGCCGATTCCACCTTCATACACGGCCTTCAGACTACTAAGGAGCGTCAGTCCTTTTAAGGATAGAACGTCGAGAACGCCGACGCCCCGTCCTTTTAAGGATAAGGCAGTCAGGCAGTTGGAATTACGTTGAAGGCCACGCGACACCCCGTAGCAGTTAAGATCTGTTCTGTCCCGCCTAGAATAACCATAGTTTACTTGCATGCGAACCTCGCGATTACAGAACACGGCCGCTTGAGCCACGCTCGCTTCCCGAGCTCCACGCGCACCGCTCACGCGCGAAACTCTGTACGCACCGTTCCCGCATGCTGCTTCGCATAGCTATCAGTGTTAACTATCTTTTATAATAACCGCTTGAATAAACCTAATTATTTAAACCGCTTATACGAGGCACAGTAAGTTGGAGTTTTCCCCTTCTCCCGAATCCTGGCACCGGCGAGCCTTGATCCGCGGCGTACGGGAAAGGTGAACCGTTACAAACTCTCAGCATTTTTGAAAACGCTCGCTTCTGCGAGCTTTTATATCAGCAAGAAACCGCGGTATGCGCATGATTCTACAGTGGCATTATAATTTAGCAAATGATATGCGCATCCGATTAAGTCCAATTACATAATATATCATCTTTCAGGACAGATTATTTATATTACCAAATTAAAATAAATTAAAATATTAATTAAATTACTTCAAGATCTTTATACTAATATATCTACGTTATTTTTTAATACATGTTAATACGAATAGATATATCATACATATTAATCAAATATCGTATTAATTGCTGAGGGTTAAACGCTTCTGATTGCACTTTTACTTAAATATAAAAAAAAAACTTGTTTAAATATAAAAAAAAATTTTTGAGCATTTTTATACAAATGAACAAGTTTCTTATTGACCCATTTTATAATAAAATAGACTTTTATTCTTCCAATTTTCGACGAAGATTCTTTGGAACATAAAACACTCGGAATCGACATTGCTATCCTTGGCCTACTGCCTTAAAATAGGTAACATGGAATGATGATATCCATGTGGAAAACGAGAATTATTTTTCTTACAGTGATATCTTTAGAAAGTATTGATAATTCAACGGTTATACTACTATCAATCTTCATCTTTTATATCAAACTGAGAAAAGAGCTTAGGATCAAATGATGAATGTGAAAAAATTAGATTAATAAAACATGGAATAATCTCAAGGACAATTTCACGTACCGCTAAAACGAGCGATTGAAGCGACAGATTTGTCGCTCGTAATCCAGCGGCTACGATTTTGTAATTTGAACAGGTTCAACTACAAAGCATTACCGCTCAAACCATCGACATATAGTACTGGACGGAGCATGCGGCAAGATTTCTTTGTTCTTTCGTATTGAGCGACCTAGAAAGAGAGAAGTAAATGTGTCGGCACGGATCTCTCATTTTATTCTCGTTTCATTGGTTGAATTTTGTCTAAGGAGAAGGGGAACAGTACTGTATTCTTATAAGTTGGGAACATCCTTAACCTTATTGCTACTTATAAGTGTGTAACGTATATGAACATAGCATATAAAAGTGATAATATTATATATGTTACAAATAATTAGTAATATAATGTCTGCCTGTTTATTGTCCAAACCAAATGAGTTAGACAATGATGTATAAAATTTTGAGATGCTTCATCGCCCCATAGTTTATGAGCCGCCACTACCCACACATCGTCTTGTCTCTTTCTACGTCTGTCAATAGCCCAGTCAACGAAGGAAAAATTAAAAAAATAATTCTAAAAGTTTTGAAAATTTATAGAGATATTCATTTAGGCTTACTAATGAACGTCTAAAAAGTCCTGAAAAATTGAAGATGAGCTATCGCCGCTATCTTGAAAAATAGATGAACTTTTTCGGTTTTTTGCATATATCTCGTAAAATATTAACTTAATTGAAAAAGTAGTTATTATTAACAGGAGAGTTTACTAAATCGTCTACAAAAAAGGTATGATTCAATTTTTTTTAGCTATAATAGTGTAACGGCAGGGCCGTTACTACAGGATGTACATAAAAATATATATATATAGAAACGCGCACGCATTGCTTATTCACCCAGCACGACTTATCCCGCCGCCATCTTGCTTGCCGCATGCGCTCTCGCGCTCGATAGAGGCCATCTTGCTCAGCATGCGCTCTCGCTCGCAGACACGCTCTGTCTCGCTCTCGCGGGGTCCCCACGCGGTACCGACTCCCACTGCCGGACCGCCGGCGCACAGTGGGGAATGCCGGCCGGGTATATAAGCCCGGCCGGTCGAGACATCGGGACCAGATCCTATCCCGACCAGCTCCTGATACCGATCTCACCACTATCTAGCACCTCTTAAGGCAGAGGTTGTACTCAGCCCCGCCGGGTTGAACCGGCACTCTATACCTGCCGGCAATACCTGGCCGCCTGACCTAACCCTAGATAATAAGTGCATGTTCAGACCGCGCTGTAAATATAATCGCATGATAGAGCTAAGTTCGCTAGTTCTAAGTCTCGTAGTCCTAAGCCTGCTAGTCTTAAGGCCTGTTAGTGTTAAGTCCGCTAGTTATAACCGCATCCTAGTCTTAAGGCCTGTTCGTACTAAGTCCGCTAGTTGTAACCGCATGCTAGTAATAAGACCTGTACTAAGTCCGCTAGTTATAAGACCTGCTAGTAATAAGACTTGTCTAGTACTAAGTCTGTTAGTTATAAGGCCTGTTCATAATAAGTTCTCTAGTTCTGACCGCGCCGTCAGCGCCAGTAAATAAAACCGGAAACGATTGCACGCCGCACCTGTCTAGCGCTTCTCACCGCTTTACGACCATCGCTTCGCGCCTGCGCGTTACGCAGATCCAGCTACTAGCGACCAGTGATGCAAACTCTGCGGTTTCTGCCCGCTACCAGCGCATGTGGAGGGGGTAGCGCACACAAGGAACGAGTCCTGTACGTGTGCGCTCGGCGCTTAAACATTACACATAACCTCAACCTGTCATTTATCAAAGTGTCAATAATTAGTATTGTGAGAAAGAAGGCTTCTCTATGGTATTAATTATTAGTGTTTCACTTTTTATATTATTAGTGTTTTACTTTTTATGGCTTTGCATTTAACATATTTGTTTGTGTAGTTATAATTATGGCTTTGCAGTTTATATATTTGTCTGCGTAGCTATAATTATGGCTACACAGTTTATATATTTTAATTTAGATATTATTTCAGTCTCTTCCTCCCTCCCCCTCTCTACCCCTCTCTTTACCCCTCTCTCTCTCTCTTCCTCGTGATTATATTATGCTGTTAATTAAAAAAAAACAGAAAAATTATTTAATAAAAAAAACAATAAAAAAATAATATGACAAAAAATTAAATTAAAAAGAAACAATAGAAAAAAGGGAGTGAGGAGGGGGAGAGAGCTGTTGAGGGAGAATGAGAGAAAGAGGTGGGAAAGAGAGAGAGAAAGAGAGACCAGAGGAAAAAAGAA